TATGTGTGTGTCTATGCATATGTGTTTGTGAATGTCTGAGTGTGTGTATGTCTGTGCATGTGTGTTTGTGTGTGTCTGAGTGTATGTGTGGTTGTATATAGGCCAGAGAACAGTCTTAGATGTCATTCCTTAGGTGCCTTCCATCTTTTGTTTGATACAACCTGGGACTTGGCTAAGTAGACTGACTTAGCTGATCCCTGATCCAGGGTTCTACCTGGCCCTGCCTCTCACTTTACCACTGTCAGGGTTACGGGGACTACAGTCACCTCCCACAATGCCTTGCTCTTACATGGGTTCTGAGAACTCACCTCAAGTCTTTAGACTTTACTCAACAAGACATCTCCCCATCTCTCTTCTTGCCTTTCTTGTTTTTCATTCCATTATATTTAGCACGTACAGGTGTGGGCATGCCATGGCACACCTGTGGCGGTCAGAGGCCTTGCAGCAGTTAGAGCTTACCTCCCATCTGCTTCCCCTGGATCAAACGCTGGTTGCCATGTGTGATACCAAATGCCTTTATCCACTGAGCCATCCTGTCGACCCCCTCAGGAAGTGTTTTATTGAACTCAATGTTGAAGCATAAGACAATAAGACAGCACAGCAAGGGGACCTCTTAGCTCACAAAGGGAGTTCAACGATCAACCAAGATATCTAGAAGAGTGGTGCTTGGACCCATCTTAACAGTCATGCACATGGAGGGTTGTATTTGTCCTAGGCAGGGCACTGTCCCTCTGAACTGGTCACAACTCTCCCCATCCCACACCGCCAGGAAAGCTGCTCTTCTTCTGGCTGGGGTGGACATGGTTGGAGTGAAGTCTGGCATCAGCTGTTTCCAACAGGCCTAGCTGGGGCCTCACCTACAAGACCAGAGTTGTGCTTGAGCAGCAAGCAGCTGCCATCGTTGAGTGACTTTCGCAAGCCATCTGTGGCTGGCATAAGGGAAGTCTGGCTGGCTGCTTGATTGACAGTCCTTTGCTCAAGGCGTACAGGACACCAGGGAAGAGTCTAACCGCTGTCAATTAGGGAGTCAAATCACCACCCCTAATGTTTTCACAGGAAAACTAACATCAGAAGGAATGCTTATATTAGTAATTTACCGTTCACAATAATTGTGATTCAAACAATATGTAGCAGTTTTTCACACTTGTCAAGCGTTCCTCAGTCTCTCTCAGGATCTCAGATGCCATCCCTGATACAGCTTAGAAGATCGGAACCTGAAGTTGGCTAAGCCTCAGAGTGCCCAGGGCGTTGTGTTGATCCATGCAAAAGACAGATCTCTGGTGGTCTATGGCAGGGGACACTCGGGTCCACCCCACTCAGTGTGAGGTCCTCAGAACTGGTAAAACTCTGAGGTTCCTACCTACACTGTTTTTTCTTCTTGGGCCAGGAGCAACCCACGAAGGCCATCCAAGACAGGAATCTAGACCCACCAGGAATCTACGCCATCAGTCCCTCATCACTCTGAATCTACTTTCTGCTCAGGAAACTGCAATTCTGGTTCCTTTATGGACTTTAAACAATCCAGTTAGTGGGGGATAAAGCTGTCTATATGTTTCTAGTGTTCCTGCCTCCACTGTGTGTGCAAGGGAGAGCATTAAGACGTTATCCATCAGTCTCTGACCTACTGGGTCTTAACCCAAGCCTCCATCACACTGACACTACCAAGCAACGAATACAAATACATCTTGGTTCCCCCAGATGACCTTCAGTATTTTGGCTCATGAGTATCAGGCAGCTATGGAAGACTTTCAGGGATCCAGAACATATGTGCTCTCAAGTTCTGGCAGGAGGCAGGGTGCCTGTCTGTCAGCAGGAGAAAGTCACAGAAGGGAAGCCAGAGACTTCCACTCAGAGGCTGGGACCCGCCTCTTGTTCCTTGCCTGATAGGCATTGGCCCTGTGCCTTCCTACCTGAAAAATGACTAGGTCAAGTCCTGGGCCTAGGGGCACAAAGACCATTGGAAGGGCATTGCATCCCCTGCTGGTTGCTGGCTCAGTCTGAGGTCCCAGGATAGGCAGCCAAGCTAGGAGCCTCTATGGTCCAAGTTAAGCGAACATGGCTGCTTTGTGGGAGAGCAGGAAAGCTTCAGGGCAGAGGTCACATGGTGGATGCCACCGAAAACTAGCTTAGTGACTGAAGCTCTTATTCATTTGTGTTGAAGGCACAGACAATAGGAACCGTCTGAGGCATGGGAATTGCATAATTAAAAGGATCAGGACCAAGTAAGATCAATCAGAGAGAGTCCCTCTGGGTGCTGTGGTGACTCTGGCCTGGTCGCCTCTCTCAGAGCGTCTACCAGTTCCACTAATCTGCAAGGCCAAGCAGAAACCCCTGAAAACGGTCAGGTGAGGTCAAGTGTTTAGGGCTGACCGCTAGCCTCATGAGACAGTGTGGTTCCGTGACACGTGACTGTGAGCTCTTTCAGATAATGGAGCTTTGTTGTACTGAATGAGATCATCAAGAATTAGGGTGGCCTAAATCCACTAACAGGATTTAGTTACAGGCAGTCAGAGGAGCCTTTGGGGCGGAGGAGAGAAGTAAAGACAGGTAGAACTTTGGTAAGGACACCATGGGTAGAGAACCTTGGGGGCAGTGTGGCTCTGGCCTAGCCTTCATATCCTCCAGCCTCCATAACGGAGGGGAACGGAAGTGAAGTGCTGAAGGCCAGGTTGGAGGGCGTTTGTAACAGAAGCCCCAGGCAGCTCCTGCCAGTGCTCTGAGGAAGAGAAGGCCAGGAAGGGGAGGGTATAGACAGTGCATCTAGAACTGTGCACCTCAGTAACCTGACTGAACCCCAAGTCCAAAGTTGGACCTACAGGACACCCAGGGGCAAAGTTTCCAACAGAACAGCAAGTGCCGGGATTGTAGGGCTGACTTGGTGCACACAGGGTGGAATGGGTCTGAAATCCTGCTCTTTCTCGCGTTCTGACCGCCCACCCCTCCACCCCCGTAACTGCCGGGTGACCCTTGCAGCTCTTCAGATTCAGACAACAGATCAACGGCGATTATGAGGAGGGTTGGGAAGAAGCATATGACTCTGTGAATTCTGCCCACAAGAACCTTGGACAGTGTGGAGGCTTGTCACTTCCCCTGAGTTCCTAATTCTCCCTCAGCTTCTTTGGACTCCAAACAGTGGCTCACACTTTGGAATGACCTGCGACCTGTTGATCTCTTGAAGTCTTAACAAGCTGTTATACAAAACGCCGACATTCTCCTTGCCAGCTGGCTGTGGGCATAACTCAGGAGGACCTGGTCCTTTGTGCCAAGTTCCCCAAGGACCCTGTATGTGGGTGTATAAAAGCCAGTCAAGTGAGGGGCGGTACAGCCTCTCAGCTTCAGCGATCTGTTCGTTGGCTGTGAACACAGATCCCGGAGATGAAGGCTCTGTTCCTGACCACCGGCTTCTGCCTGCTTGCTGCCCTGCGGGCTCAGAACTCCTCATCCCTTGCTTTGAATAACAGGCAAGTGAGTCAGGGCTGGGGGACAGGGTGGCATCTCAGCCTTTACTGCAGGACACCAAGGGTTCTAGATTCAGGGAGGATCCCAGTCTGACCCTTACTGCAGGTTGTAACCAAAGATAGTAGACCAATTTGGAGCTAAGGGATCCCCATGCACATTTCTGGGTGCAGGGCTGGAGACTGAGAAAATGAACTAGAAGGCTGCCCTGGTACCCTAGGAGTAAGCAGGTCTCTGTCATATGAGTGTTCCATGTTTCAGTGGGGAAATGAAATAGTCAGACGTGAGCGGTAGTTGGAGGGCAGGTGTTCCACAGGGAACGTGGGTAGGCACCAGGCAAAGAGGACATCCATCTTTTAGTTTTCTGGGAAGTGGTTCATGAAGGCCTTGGTGACGAAGGACAAGCTTCCAATAAAGAAGGTCTCGCCCATATTTGTGCTGGTGCTGGACAACGGTGACTTGGAGTTCTCTTTCGCACACACGTGAGTGTCTGTGGCTCCCACGTTGGGTTGGTCTCTTACCTGGTCCATTACTTCTCAATGGGTAGTTTTTAAAAAATCCCTCTGACTTGGAAAGAACAGCTCCAGAGGCAGGATGTGGAGGGTGGACCCCAATCAGAACGAGGGTTGGTTGCTTTGTAGACCGGGCTGGCCTCAAACTCACTGAGATCCGTCTGCCTCTGCCTCCCAAGTGCTGAGAGGTCGGGTTTAAGAGGACCACTGCAAAAATAGTTTCTGATTTCAGGATGTATGGCCAGTGTCTTGAATTGACCACCGTCTTGGAGCAAACAGATGTGCCTGGCCATTACACTGCCTGTGAGTACCTTGAACCCTGGGATGGGTGACTGACATCCCATGCGAGGGAGGGCTTCCTGGCTTCCTTCCCACCCCCAGGAGGCATCCCAGGAGGATAGTCACTCAGATGACTGGAGCCACTGTGACCAGTGTCTGACGTGGCTGTCAGAAGAGGAACCCAGGTGATGGTTTGCAGGGTGGAGCTCACCTTACTCTTCCCGGGGCCTCCACAGTTGAGGGGAAGAGCCAACTGGAGGTGCAGCTGTCTTCTGTGAAGGACCATTGGCTGATCTACTGTGATGGGGAGATGGAGGGCATGCACTTCACAACCACCCAGCTCATAGGTAAGCTTCACCTACCCATGCCTAACGCACCCATGCCTAGCCTCGCTGCTCCTCTTCTTCAGAGCAGAAGAATCCCTGGGAGCAGGCCCCACAAAGGATAGGAGCAGCAGGCGAGAGCAGGGCACAAGGCTACTGGGTGGCTGAACCTACCTTACTGAGTTCTGCTGTAGTGACGGATAGGCCCAGAAGGGACCATCCAGGACAGAGGTCTCTTGACTACAGATGCTGCTAAAGCTGCTTTGTGGAGCCTCGGGGCATCAGGCATGGTTTATGTGAGGACATGGTGTCCTGACTGGCGCCTTCTCAGCTCAGTGCATCTGGAACATGGGGACTTTTTAGGTCAGGTGCAAGATGCTACAGGCCCCCGCTGGAAGGATTTTGGTTTCCTGGGTCATTTAGTGGCTCAGATGCCCCCCAGTTCAGTATCAATACGCCCTACCTCCTTTTCTGCCCTTGGCTATTCCGTGATGAAGCCTGTATTGCTGGGCAGAGCTCCTGTCTGTGGCACTGGCTCCTTGCCAACCTGTGTGGACACCTCCCTCTGCTCACCCATCCCTCTTCCACAGGGAGAAACCCCAAGAAAAACCTGGAGGCCTTGGAAGAGTTTAAGAAGTTCACACAGAAAAAGGGGCTTGTACCAGAGAACCTGGCCATACTCGAGCAGATGGGTAAGAACACACACAACCCATGTTCCCTTCTCTATCCGCTGTGCCACCTGTAACCCTGTCACTCTCGTGTCCCCTGGCCCCAGGTGGACACTGCAGGCCCTGCTGCAGGCCTTGGTCATGGAAGGAGTCGCAGCTATGATGGGCTCTTGTCCAGACCCCATTCTCATCGCTGGGTTTTTTGCTTTCTACAGACAAATGTGAACCCAAGAGTGAATAGGGTAAGCGACCCTTGAAGCCAACAAGAGCCTTGGGATTCAGCAGGAAGCCCTCGGCTGCAGCCAGGAATTGCCCAGTTTCTGCGTCCCAACACCCTGGGTTTCTTTAGCTTCGTTCCTGGGTCGTTTAAGGTTTCCTACTTGTCCTCACCTCATCAGTGACTCGTGCTGGTGGTGTGACCTGCGGTAGACAGGTGAAGCTGTCCAGTTGCCCACCCAGCCAGGAAGTGCCTGTCCTTCTTAGCCTCGCCCTGCTCTTCTGGGGACTTCCTACCTGCCTGCCATTGAATACACACACACATACACACACACACACACACACACACACACACACACACACACACACACACGTGTGTGTGTCCATGAGCCGACTCTGGGTGACATGAGGACCCTTTGATAATGGAGCAGAAAGTCCTAGGCACACCAGGCACAGGTGGAATTATGATGTCCGTATCCTTTACGGCCCCCACTTGTCGGCCACACCCTTGCCTGGTGACCACTGCATAGAGAGCTTTCCTGAGGGAAGTCCGAAGAAAGGAATTCCTTGTTCAGCACAGGCTAGCCCTGCGTCTCTGAGAGCCTGTGAAGCTGCCCCAAAGCACCCGTCTTCCCTCCCCCACCATAACCCTGCCCTGACTGACTCTACCCTCCTTGCTGCAGAGACTCACTGTCTCCTTTCTAGATCATGGTGAACCAAGCTACAAAGCCGCCCAAGGCAGTACTGCCAGAACCTCTGTCCTGCGTGACGTGGAAGGAGTGCCCTGCTGGGCTATCTGACTTCTCTTCTCTCTTCCCTATTCTCTCCTCCTCCTCTTCCCTGCTCATCAATAAAGAGATTCAGCAGTCCCTGGTGACTCTGTGTATGTGGCCCCTGGACGGGTGTATTTATTCTCCCTTGGTGGTCTGTTGATGGCTGAGAACTGTGTAGGAGAGCAGGAAGCCCCCAGCCTTGTTTGGTGTAGGCCTGGAAGCTCAAGACCATTCTGACCCCTGCCCCAACACCCTTCTGTAGGTGTGTCACCCCAAAGCCCAGGTTTTGGGCAGTGAGTGTGATGAGCAAGAGGCCCAAGACAATGACAGGGTAGGGCTCCAAGGCAAAGGTGAGGACCAGAAGAGTCTGTGTGCAGATGGGGACCACTTGGGAACTGAGGTAGGAATGTAACCAGGGAACAGGCCTGGGGCTGGGTTCCCAGGCACAGCAGGACAGACTGTAGGACATTGAGAATTTGTTTCCACGGGTAGGGGACAGTGTTGTGGCCTCTCTCTGCAGCCTGAACAAATATAGGAGCTGTTGTGGAAAAAGACCCAGCACCAGGAGCAGCCTTGCTAGAACATTCTGAGGCCACCAATGCTATTTCTTAGATCATTTTGAGACTATGCTCCGAGTATCATGAAAGGCCAGCTAAGACCCAATTCTCTTCTCTCTCTCTCTCTCTCTCTTTCTCTCTCTCTCTCTCTCTCTCTCTTTGCATGGGGGTATGTGAACTTACTAATTTTTTTGTAATCTATGTACCCTCCTGCTCAAACCTCCCCAGTTCCGGGTACATTGCCACTGATAGGAATGACCAGCATCCCAAGACCTCTACACAACACAGCAGGCCTCTAGTACAAACTGCTGGGGTTCACACAGTCCTGTGGCTTCCCGGAGGAGGACATGCTCAGCATCCCCCCATTGGCAGGGAGTCCCCACTGCAGTGTTGAATGGTCAACTTGTTGTTTCGAACCACCAGCTCTACGGCAATTTCCAGAAAACAGACATTACATATGGGTTGTGTACACAGACACAAGTGCACATATTTAGAGGCGCACACACATGTATGCATATGTAAACACGGGAACACAGACATACATTCATGCACGCACATGTGAGCATACTGACGCATAGATGTGAAAACACAGACACACATATGACCACACGTGTGGATAGATGTGGAATACTGCCCAGCAACCAGGGAAAAGGATCTAGACAGGGCTTGAACGCTGTGCCTGGAGCTGGTCCGGGCGGATGGGCTGGCACAGGAACTCTGTGACTTGTGGGAACCAGGCCTGGGCGTGACGTGGGCAGGAGCATAGCAGCTCTTGGCTCCAGATTCCAAGGAAGCACTTCCCACACTGAAACCTTCTCCCTTTAACAAGAACCCTACAGGTTACCTCTGTCTGAGAGGGAGGCCCAAGCAAAACTGTAGTCAGGTCTCCAGTGCAGATGGCTAGAGCCTCTGTGTGACTGAGGGAGGGCCGGCTGCCGCCCCAAGGCCTCCCTTGCGAATTAGACAGACTCAGAAGGCCAGAGGGCAGAACAGCCATGAAGACCACGAGTGGGCTCCCGTGCCGAGTCTGGTCTCAGTGCAGCACATTCTAAGGAGGGCCAGCAGGACAAAAAGCAACAGATGACCAGGCTACCCAAGAAGAGGAGGGACTTGCTGGGGTCAGACCCTGGTCTGAACTCAGAGCTCCTGATCAGAGCTGGAAGCAGAAGGCAGCACGGCTCCTCTCTTGTGGTTTTCAGACTTCTGCCTGGTAGAGAAGGAGGCCCACACGGTGCCCAGGCAGGCACTCCGCATGGGGCAGTGTGGCGCATTTGTGCCCAGTGTGTGGGGTCTCAGTCAGACACGATGCAGATTTCCATTGGTGTTGATTAGAGTCTCCCAAACCCACATTCACGGTAGCGTGATGACAGGATATATATTCTTTCTAAAATCCCCGGAGGTCAAAGCCACTGTTTGGAAGGAACTTTGCTATTTTAAGCTCCTCTATGAACAGTGATGGGTAAAAACAGTGGACTCTCAGTGTCATTCGGGAAAATGCCAGCGTGACCACAGAGTCATAAGCATCTCCATCCCACGTTGTTCCGTCATTTAGTGGATGGGTGGGTGGCTAGGGAAAGGTGGGCGGGGAATGGGTGAATAAGAGATTGACCAGTGGAGCATAGCTTTGGTGAATGGGTGCGTGGGAGGGTGAGCGGATGCAGGATAAGACAAAGGGGTGGAGAGTTAGGTGGGTTCATGAATGGATGGGGAGGCAAACTGGAAGGTGGGTGGACAGGCGACCAGCACTGAACACACAGACATGGATACTTCAACACAGTACCCTTCAGGCCCATCTTTGTGAGCTGTTTTCTCCCTGCTCTCCTGCAGCATTCTCCTCCTGTTCCTGTTCCAGGCTCAACCAATGCTGATCAGGCCTCAGACCTTCTTGTGTTCTTCTCTCAGCGGAGTCCTTAATCAGCTCCTTAGTGTGATGGGGCCATGTCCACCCCTGTTAAAAATTAACAATTTCATGGACACTTACGGTCAGTGCTGGCCACCTCTGCTGATGGTGGGAGAGAGCGGCAAGGGTAGGGAATCTTGCTGCATCTATTTTTGATCTTAAAACAAAATCCTTTCAGAATCTTACTGCTTTCCTCACAGGCCCTTTCTCCCACATCAGCCATAGTCTCTTCCCATAATTCCCACATCTCCAGACGTGGATGAATCTTCTTAGCTATGATCATCTTGGGTATTGGCCAGTTTTGCCACACCCCTCCTATTCAGCTTCCTCCTCTACCCTTTCTTTCCTTTCCCCTCCTGTCTTTGCTGTGTTTCTTTCTTCCTTTCTTCCCTCTGGAGTACTAATCACAGTCATTTCCTCCATAGGGTTCTGGAAAAGTGGTGTCTAGCCACTGGCCTGGAACCGCTCCTTTCTTCAGCATGAATACTTCCCTCCCCTCCAACTTCCTGATGAGCTACAAAGGGAAGCCATAGTTCCAAATACTCTCTCTGTGAGTGCCCTTGTCCCAAGCTCTGCCCCCTGACTCTCCAATTGGGAGGGACTTGGATATTCCTCTGGCCCTTTTTCAGAGGTTGGCACAGCCTCTTGAGGTAGATTCTGTGTCTTGAAGTTTCATGTGCCTGTTCACCTAGCAGACCCAACCACCCTCATTGGTGACATTGAGGGCAAGAGACATGTCACCATTTTGCACATGAAGGTGAGGTGCAGGCACTGGGAAAACACTAGAGTCTTCTTACAACTTCATACTTTATAAGCCCGGCGCTGTAACCTAAGGAATGGGAGGCCTAGGGCTCTCAAGTGAGCCAGACATGGGATCAGCCAACAGATACTAGAATCTGGGCCACTTGTTTTGAACTAGGGTATCCCCAACGGCCTCCTCCAGCTGACTCAGCTGCAGCTACCAACAATGGGCTCTAAAGTGGCAAGAAACGGGGTGGGGACCAGGACCTGTGTCCACCGATACCCCAGGGAGAGATCCTGGCACCGGAAAGCTTGTCAACAAAGGACTCATAGAGGATGTCTTTGTAGAGTGTCTGTTGATATCTGGAAAGGGGACAGGCAGCTACAAGGTGTCATGGCCTGAGCAGCAGCTAGATTCTAACACGACAGCCTCCAAGTTAGTCCCTCAAGTCCCCAGATGACCATTTGGCAGATAGAGGCTGAGTCCTCTTATATGAAAAGCTGGTTTAAGCCTCCCAGTAGGTCCTTAGCTTATTTTGCATTTCTCTGTGTGGCTTACACCCAGGAGAACCATGGGAGATGACTCAACACCAGGAAAGAGGCCAGACCCAGAACACCTTGGGCAGGCACATATACAGCTTTCCAAAGCCTGAAACATCATCCAAGGGCACCTAGCAAGTGATCTCCAGGAGCCGCAGGAGCCAAGCTAATGCCTCTCGGCTTGTCTTGGCTATCTCTGAGCCTGGAGTCCCTGGTCCACTAAGCCGCCCACTGTCGTAAGCATAGTGAATTACATATAAAAAGGCCAGCTCGTAGTTCAGAGATTAAAAAAGGCCAGCTCATAGTTCAGAGACTAAGAACCAGCCATCACAAGTGTTCCCAGAGCTCTGCCGCTTCCTGTCCACCAAGCCTGCCCTAGGACAAATGTCCAATCTGGAACCCTCAGACAAAAGAAACCTCTGAGTTACAAGAATGGGAATTCCATTTGGGCCTCAAGGGCCCACCCCTGGCCATGGGAAGGTCCACTCTGTTCCTGGAAGGCAGGCAGTGAGAGAGGTTTTTGGTGGTACCCTGTGCGCTAGGCCCAAGGGAAGGGTGCCCCCGTGAGTTGATCTTTTAGTCTTTCTTGATGGTGGAATTGAATGTGACTTCATGCTCGGACACTTGAGCGGAGGACAGACACATAATGACCCATGGCTGGGAGATGGACCTGGACAGCCCCTAGTAGCCATAGGAGATCAGGGGCTCAGGGTGTGGTCTGAGCAGGCCCAGAGCTTCTCGCTGTTGTGTTAAAATGGACACAAGGACCTGGCCCAGCTTGCCTCTATGATCCTACAGGGTGATACGCACCTTCTCCAAGCTCCACTTTCTCCCTTGAGGACCCACCGGGCAGTGCTTGCAGGACCTGGATCCTTACCTGTGCTGGCCCATTCCCTAGAACACTGTTCTTCTGAGCCCTTCACCTCACCTCGCCACACACAGAAGCAGGAGGTGAATACAGACCCATATCCTGTCCATGAGGCAGTGTGAGAACCCCCAAAAGAGCTATACATTTCTTAAGGCTCCATGACCCTCCACCATCCCACAGGTGCCTGATCTGAGTCCAGGACCAGGTGGTGCTGACACTGCCCATTGGGCAACTTCCTCATGCAGGGACTTCTGCATCCTGCATTCAACATCTGGATGAACATGGTCCCTCCCACAGCACTCCTACCAGGAAACCCCTCTTGGTGTCTAGGGTTTGAAGAGCGGCATCTGTTCTCACTCAGGTCCTTCAGAATATTACAGCTTCACCCTACCCCATCCCTCTTTTGCTGGCTCCTCTCTCCATGGACTCAGTCTGGATATTTCCACTATATTCCTAGAGCCAACACTGGCCCCAGGCTCTGCTCAGCTCTGCCCGGTCCCCAGCATACCTTGGTGGATACTAGAGAGGGCATATCTGTAAACAAGTCTATGGTGTCCCAAGGCGAGAGTGGGAACTTCCACAACGTTCCAAGAATTGTGAATTTTCTGACAGAGGCAATTGCATGCGTGTGAACATGTACCAAGCAGAAAAATGTTGTCGTGTGTACATATGTGTACTCAGATGCATGTCTACTCTCATATGCAAGCACACTTACAGGCAAGGCACATAGGACCAGAGGCCCACAGTCATACTGCACACACATATACATGTACACTCGTTCATGATGTGTACAACCATGAGCTCATAGCGCATGCACACATGTATGTGTGCACACATATCCCACCTGATCGGAGCAGCTGCAACTGAATGACAGAAAGCCCAAGTCATAGCAACAACCTCGCTGGAGCCCTTGGGCTTCACCATGGAGCACAGTGGGCCTTCCGAGACCACTGGAGTGGCCCTGGACTACCCTGGCTTTTCTGTCATCAAAGGAGGGGAAAGGCCTGCGATCTGGAGACTAGGAATTCAGATCTCCTTGTCAACCCCCAAGTGAATGGTCTTGAGCACTTCTGCACGCACGTGTGATCAATTATGGCTCTGACCTTCAGAGCTATAATCCTTTTAGTCTCACTGACTGAATAGCCTGGCTTCAAGTCCAAAACTGTGGCTGGGGCTGGGGCTGGGGCTGGGGCTGGGGCTGGGGCTGGGGCTGGGGCTGGGGCTGAGAAAGCAGGGAAGCCTCTGCCACATGGGGCTTCCATGAGCATAAGGGAAGGGCACAGAGGGTACCCTGAGGGGTGTCCTCCCCGTGGCTCAACACTGTTTGTATATCCTGCCCAGCCTTCACCTGCTGAGACTCGAAGGCTTGGTGGGCCAATGACGTGCCACATCCAGAGTGTCCCAGGCTCACCCACAAAAGCATCGCAGTCCAGAAGCCAAACCACACAGTGTCCCAGTCCTGGCCAGCACTCTGACCTTTTAATGGAGGCATCTTGTAGCCCCAGGGCTGGCAGCATCCTCCTTTGAACTCCTAGACTGGGGGAGGGGTAGAAGAACTTCCTGCCTCTGAACAGTATATATACAGCCACCTGGGGGCTCTGAGCATCTGCATCCTGAGCACTCATCCCAAGAAGACACAGCAGAGCCATGAAGTTTCTGTTGCTGCTGGCTGTGGGGCTGGACCTGGCCTGGGCCCAGCAGGACCAAAGCCAGGTTCCCGTGCAGCAGGGCTTCAGCCCTGATCAGGTGGGGTCTCTGAAGAAGGCAGGGAGTCACCTCATTTCTTTTCCAGGTCTCTGTCACCTTGAAGTGTGTTGACAGCAACTCCCTATAGTGGGCACCAAAGGACTGGCATTCTACTTGAGGCCAGGAGCTCAGGGGACACTGCCAGGTCCCCCAGAGTATGAATCACATAAAAGCCCAGCTACAGTTGGCCAGGCCCCAGGAGGATCCCTGAACCTAGGGATCAAATAAGAGAGACAGGGTAACCAGGTTTTCTACTGTGTGTGCTATTGCACAGAGACCTTGAGACCTTCATATGGTAGACGACGCCATCGCTCGTCAATAGAGAGTCAATATATTCTATCAGCACTGTCCATGGGCAGTGGCTATACTGTGCTGGCCTGTCTGACTGGGGAGTGGTGATGGAGGAGAGTCAGACCCCAAGGCACCTTCTCAGCACACAGTAAGAGATGCGGTGAGGTCCATACTCTATACCTCAGCAGGACATTGCCTGCCGTGACCCACTGTCCAGGGAGATGGCTCCCCAGGACTCTGTGGTCAGGATAGAACCTTGCTCTACAGGTGACAGGGCCCTGGAAGACCCTCAGTCTGGCTTCCACTAACCGGTCCGTCATTGAAGAAGGAGGTGCTTACAGGTGCTTCATGACTGGTATTGTCCACCTGGACAACGGCAACCTGAATGTCACCTACTTTCACAGGTATTCTGGCATGTCGCAGGGCCACGTTCTCTCCACCACCTCCCAAATGCCCAGCTCTTTCGGGTTCAGACCCTGAGAGGGCCCCGCCGATAGTGAGATACTGATCCTCTGAGCTGCTCCGTGGAGGCAGAGCTCCCTCTGGATAATCCAGGTGATCTGATAGGGCCAGTCCGTCAGGACAGGGCTCAGGAAGGCTATTTTCCTCTCAGGAAAGACGGAAAATGCGTGAAGGAATTCTTCGTGGCAGAGAAAACTGACATCCCTGGACGCTACACCTTTGAGTGTGAGTGAGGGCGGCTGCTCCTCCCTCCCTGAGGGGCATGGCGGCTCAGGCGGGGTGTGATGAGCTACTGGGGTGCAAATGTGACTGGTCAGGAAGGATGGGGTTGGTAATCATCCAGACCTAGCAGCGATGTCTTCCGAAATCCAAACATCCAAGAAGGGCAGCCCTAACTGTGTTCCCTTGAGTTCCCAGGGCTCCCCACAATCTTCCTGAAAGCCCTCCCCAGAGACCCAGCCCAGAGCTGACCTTCTTCAAATGGCAGGCAGTGGAAGGGAGGCTGAAGGGGAGGAGGCACTCAGGAACCCTCCCCCAGCTGTGGCTCTGGAGTACTGTGTAAGGTTTTCCCTTTGGAGCAGATGCTGATCAGGCTAAAGTAACACAAAGCAGTGTTGGGGTGGTGAGGCGCAGGAGGCCAGATAACAGGAGAAGACAGACGGGAGACTCGAGCCCTTCCTCTTCCTTGGCATGCCCTCCCCGTTTTCTGGCCCAGAAAGAGACCTAGATCAAGAGACAGGGGAGAGAATTGGGGGGGAGCAGAACAAGAGGAAGACCGATAGAAGGCAGGGGCAGGAGAGTGACTGGCTGGTGGGCTTTGTGCCCTGGGCTCTGCTGACTACTGTGGGCTGACCGTGAGGCAGAGTCAGGCTGCGCCACCTGGAGAGGCACAGGGTACCCACCGGGAGACACAAGGGCCCTAGCAAGCTTCATGACCATTGGTTTCTTGTTATAGACCAAGGCCAAAACTATCTGACTTTTGTGGCCGTCACTAAGGACTACGTCATCATGGACTTTGAAAACCAGTGGGAAGGAAATACCCTCATTGTGGTTGAGCTCCACGGTGGGTGCCGTTCCCACCCACGGCCTCAAGACTGCAGGGGATGACAGGAGAGCTGGAGAGGCGGGTGGGGAGGGTGGGGGAAACGAGGGGCTGGATCTGTTCTCCCTACCCCAAGTACCCTCCCTACCGTTCTCTTTGTTCAACTGTGCTCTCCACCCTGCTGGCTGTAGGCAGGACTCTGTTTTCAGGTAAACTGGGATTGCCGGCCTATTTGAAGCACACAGCCAGAAGAGGCATTGGAGCAGGCAACATTGAGGACGTGTCCTTGAATCGTAAGCCTCCTTTCCTACAGCTTCTTCTCTGTGGGTCCCCAGCCACAATGGCTATGATGACTGCGACGTCTTTGGAAATCAAGGGGATGGCAGGATGGGGTGTGTGTGTGAGGCTTAGCAGAGCTAGGAAGAGGGGACACTGGAGGGAGAAGGGGCCGCACGTGATGAACTCTGGCCTCCGCTTCCTCTTCGGTCCACAGCAAGATGTAGCTCCTGAGGTCTGTAGGTGATTAGACTCCTTCCAGTCTTCATCATCCATATTCTGGCAGATAGACTTTTCCAGGCAACATCTTGCAAAGCCTGGCCCCAGAGTGTAGCCGTCAGGGTTTCTGAAGGATGCCGCGCCAGGGCCCAGCCTGAATTAGAACATCAGGTGGGCCCAGGAAGACTCAGGCTCCCTCCAGGGTTCTGGGGTGTGTGTACATGGGCCCCGGTACACACTTTAAAATTTCTGGCCACTTCTGGGCCTCTCATGCTCACTCTGTGCTTTGCTCAGAACCCCACTCTGCATATACGCTTGCATGGCCCTCCCCTCCCCAGGTGCTCCCTGGATCCAGGCTTTCCCCTCAATTCTGTCTCCTGGCTTCCCAGACTGCCTCTTCAGATCCCCATGAAATCAGTGTGAGCCTATTAGCCCGTGTCCCTCACAGCAGTAGAAAGCATGGAGGGACTCCATAGGTTCTTTAAAACCCTTGCTCTGGGAACCACACCAAAAGGTGGGGACAAGGGCTCAGAGCTTAGTGGATATGGGGGAATATGGCCTTCATGGAGAGCTTAGAGATCATGTCGCTCTCCTGGGTGTGCAAGGCCCAGGAGACAGGGACATCAGGATTGTGGGAGGGAGGAGGCTGGGCGCGGGGAGGAAGGGACAGGAGGAACTTCAGGACACTGATCTGGGGCCTATGCTTCCCTAGCTTGTAACAGTTCCTGAGATCAGACCACCGGACATCAGCCACCCTCAAGTCCAGGCCTGTGCAACCCAAGAGTCAGCACTGTCCACGGCCTCTGTCTCCTGGCATTCTTGATCACCATCTCCTAACCATCCATCAACTCCGACCCACCCTTCCCTGTGTAGCAAATAAACCCAGCATCCACGCATGGCCTCCAGTGCCTTTTCGTCTGTACTCAAAGGCCACGGGGACCTCCCCTAGGAAGGGGTGGCATCCACCTAGTTTCTGACAAGGTGGGGTAGGGACGGTGTCCCCAGGTAGAAATCTCATGCCCAGGGTAGCAGCTGAGCTTTGAGGGGCTTCAGGGACTTCTAGATTCCTGAGACTGAGCTATCCAGACCAGACCTGGGAGGGCCTATCTCTGTATGTCTGAGCAGGCAAACCTGAATGGCCCAAGAAGAGGGAAGAGGCAACATTGCCACCTTTATAGAGCCCTTGCCCACCCTCCCCAGAACCTGAGCCAGCTCTTATCATTGGAACAGCCAAGGTCAGGTTAGCCATGGCAGGGATTTTCTGTCCTCTAGGATATGAATGACATTTCATGAAGTCTCTCAAAGCCTGAGTCATTGTATCTGTGGCCAGGAGTGGAGGCTAGGACCTTACCCAAGAGAGCTATGCATAGACAGAAAGATCTTGCAGGTCAGGCCAGGTTCTCCTTGCCTGGGTTTCTGACCTTCCCCCAAAATTGACCATCTCCTGCCTTAGAAACCGTTGGCTGTAAGTGAACTTAATCACGAAGTGGAGGAGCAGGCAAACGCCTGGCTGCTGTCAGCTAGCTCAACCCTAGTGGGAAGCTGGACCTCTGGTTACCCAGTGACAAGCTCTTCCTCCAACAAACCCAAAGGTGTGCAGCTCTCTAGAGTGTCCCTGAGCCAAGTCCCTGCAGAACAAAAGAGAAAAAAACACAACAAAATCAAAACAACAACAACAACAACAAAAAAAAAAACCAGAACAAAATGTCCTGAAGAAAGGCCAGAGAAGAAAACAGTGCAGAGGAAGGTGTCACATTTGGCAAGAGCTGTCCAATGTGGTGTCCGGAAGGAGTGAGTAAACCTGGGGCCTGACCCTAAAGCAAAGGAGGACACTAGAAAAGTGACCACCCATGCTGTCCTGGACCCATGGGGCAGAGTGGCCCTGAGGCTGCCGGAGGGGTGGTGAGAGACATGATAAACAGGTACAGTAGCAGCTCACACCGGCAGGGCCCTCACGTTCCTCAAGTGCTGTCCAGAGAGACTGTCTGTGTGGACCTGTGCTCCCTTCACACCCTGGGAAGGAGCTAGCTGGTGTGAGGTGAGCAAGGACGGAGGAGAGTCCTTCCACTCCTGCTCCTGTGGACAGTGGATGACACACCAGGAAGATGTCAGACCTGGGGGCAAGGGGCTACACCCTGAGGGAGTAGCAGACTCCCCCGATGGTCTCCTTCTAACCAGCAGCCTCTCCCAGGACACACTGCAATGTGGTTAAGCTGCCCCAACAGGCTCACCACGTTTTTGTCTCACTGGCTTGAGTGGTACCCAGCTCTGTTTCAGGCCTAGGGAGGACTGGAATGTGCACAGTTGGGAGGAGAGAAAGGCGGGCCAGCAGATGCTTAGAAGTGGGCTGCTTAGGATATTCTCAGCGACGGGGAGCTGCCGGGGCCTGCTGCACGTGGTCCCAGGTGCCATGACACTCGTGAGGGCCTGGCTGCTGTTCGTGGCCTTCAACATAGATCTGGCCCAGGAGAATCTGGAAGAGGTGCCAGTACAGCCCGACTTTGATGCACATAAGGTGAGTCGTGTCATGGCCGGGTGCAGTCTCCGTGCTGGGCTAAGGACTGGGTGTAGTGTCACAGCATGGGTGTGCTTAAGTACCCCGACTTTCCAGGAGCTCTGGGAGACACAGCGCCCAGTAATTGACGGTGATAATTGAAGCTGGTGGTCCAAGAGCAGACGCGGAGGCTGTAGAGCCTTGGCTGTGGAAGCAGAGCCAGAGCTGAGACGACAGGTCCCCACTAGGACTCGTCGCTCAAAATGTGTCTGGCTCCTGTCTATCTCTGGGTCTTGGCGCCCAGAATCAGATGTGGGGACTGTGCCAGGCTGGGAGGGTTAGTGAGAACAGTTCCAAGTCATGATGACTCTGGGGAACAGAGCTCAAACCAGAGATCGGAGGGATGGGAGAGGTGGAGGGCACTGAGGAAGAGGGGACACTGAGAAAGAGGGGCACTGAGGAAGGGGGACACTG